GCAGGAATTAGCGAGACCGGCGCCGCTCGGTGTTTTTCGTAGGATCCTGGGTTTGTGCTTGACGGCTGCAGCGCAGGGATGCTCTTCGCCTCTGGGGCAGCGACGATGGAAGCGCAGAGAGCTGGGCACCTTACGGGGGTCGTGCCGGTCTGAAAATATGATTGAGCTGGTCGCTCTCTTGCGCTGCTTTGTGTGGAGTATGTTTGAGCTTTCGCTGCAGCCAGGACTCTGCAATTAATGATGCTACAGCTGTGAGTCTTCAGAGCTAGGTGGGATTTAGCGCCTGGTTTGAGGCAGGGATGAAGGCAGGTTTGGATATCGGCTCTTCAGCTTAAGCTGCTGTACCACTGGTGTGCTTTCCTGTATGCTGCTTTTATTACTGCTTACAAAATGCCAGATGTCCATGCAGTTTTAAGCCTTATCCATTGAGGAAAATAAACCACTCAAGAAGGAGTCAGCAAAAATATCCAATAGGTTTCTGTTCTGAAAATTGTTTGACTTGCTTGATTTCCATGTAATTTATATACAAGAGCCAATTTATGCAAGAATATCTAGTTACAGACCTGCCAAGGCTATGAGAGAACGCAGCCAGCAGAGCCTCGGTGGACACGTCCTGTATGTAGGGTTATTCAGACATCCAGGAATGCTGCACAGGGCTAAGTACAGCCGATTCAGGAATGATTCGATAACATCCCTAGATGAAGGTACACAAAATACATCTTTAAATATCAAAGGTTCTTCCTCGTCTTCCCATTCTTCGACACCTGATTTACTGGCAGAAGATGTCTCCTTGGGGCCACAGGACACCTGCACCACCCTATGCACGCTGATCCCCAGGATGGCTAACATTAAACTTGCCAACCCATCAAATCTGCCAGGGCTGAAAAGCTTCTGTCTGGGAACGAAAGAGGTGCCACGAACTAAACTCACGGAGTGCGTCACCATCCCGAGCAGCCCAACCTCGCCTGAGATCAGCTGCCTCTCGGCCTCTTATCCACAGCCTGACCTGGACAAGGTGGTCCTAATCCCAAAGGCAGCAGGTGACTGTGCTGTGTGGGGAGCCGAGGAGGCTCCTGTGGGCAGGCAGGACAGGAGCCTCGTGCAGAGCAACGAAAGCACAGGGGAGCCAGGAACGACCTACAGCGTGCGGGTGAGTACTTCTCACAGGGTTTCCATTCTTTGGCAAAGCAAACTGCTCAGGTAGCTGCTGGGTGACCTCCATTTCCCCACTTCTAGAGTCGGTGACCCAAACCAGTGAATTCTCCCGTGTATTTCCTGTCTCCTGATGTATGTAGGGCTGTGGTGTCGAATTGAGGGAGCTAAAAGTGCACCAGCTGCTCCCAGAGGTAACACAACATCCATTTCCAAAGGACTATCTTTAGACTCTCTGAGGAGTAGTGCTGAGCTGCGATTACAACAGGGGTTACTCTGTCCTGAAATGCATGTTGGACAGAAAAGGAGACCCACAAAAGGGCTTCCCATCCCTGACAGAGCAACACCAGGCACTAGGTATATGCTGGCTCATATTTGTCAGAGAGGCTGTGGGGCAGGTGCTGCCCAGGTTATATTTCCAGTATGGTGTTTCTGCTGGTCTTGCTGGAAGTTATGTTGTTTCACAGGAACTGTCTCTGGTGGGAGCCTCACAATGTAACAGGGAAATGTTTCCCTGCATCTTCCTGCTCCTCTTGCTCCCATGGCTGTGGGCCTGTAGGAGCCTGCCCAAGGAGAGCTGCAAGAGCATTGCTGATGTGTCCTGGCCAAATTATTGGTGTTTTTTTAAAACCAGCTCCTTTAATAATAACAAGCAGGTTGGTAAATAAGCAGCATCAGAGGGGCCAGGAGATGTACTAGATCTTCCACGTGGGTCCCTTCCAACTCCGATGATTCTGTGAGAGGATAGCAAGGTGCTCATTTCCCCAAGGACCACAGGGCTTCTTCAGGAGCTGGCAATGAAGCCTCAGATGGGCTGGGAAATGGCCAGAGGCATACAGCTGCAGCATGGCAGGAGTATGGTGTGGAGGGTTGGTCTCATCCGGAGGAAAAAACGGAGTTGAGAGGTTAAGGCCTGGGCAGTTGGAGCTGCTCCCCATTTCTACCTCCTTGCCCTGATCCTCACCCTTCCTCCTGTCATGTTTGGAGGCATCCACTATCCCCATGCAGCTTTTCATGTTGATATATGGGATTGTTGGGATCTCCACGGAGACCCTTTTAGGAGAAAGATCTGGTCTTTGTTACAGGGACTGCTGAGATCTTTGGCCTTAACAGCTTGATCAGTCTGAGGAGGATTTGGCAATTATATGGAGAGAGGATCCACAGTTATTTTAGAAAGGCAATAATATGGTGAGTTAAAGGTATGCCATAGGGAAGAAGCTGTTCCTTGCAGACTGGAGCAAGGCAGAAATTGCCTCTCTGGAGTTGTTTTAAGAAGAGGTGATGTCAGGCTCATTGTGTCCCCCTCAGAGGCAGCTGTGGCTGTGGCTGACTGGTAGTTTCAGGGCACCTGTGCCACAGCCATGTGTCACCCAGGCTCCAGTGAGGAAGCTGAGACCTATAACAGCATCTGTTCCCCCAAGAAGCTCATGCAAATAACAGAGCCCAGATATTAATAGTTTAATAGGAGCCTGGACAGCTCCAATTCTCAGACTGTTACCTTTCAAAACATACTATGTATGCAGATTACTGCAGGCTTTACAAGATGGATATTTACCCTGGCCTTGTTCACATCTTAGCCGTTACATGCCTTCCCACAATGCTGCCCACCTGGAGCTCACATTCTCTCTTAACGGTGCCCAGAGTGGCCACAGCAGTTTTGTATCCTGCCAGTGTTTGTTATGGCTGTGATGAGCCTGAGAGATATTCCAAAGGGCACTTGCCATCCTTACACTTGCTTGTTGGGGAGTGCCAGGGAGGTGGCTACTCTGGAGCAGGAGGATAAGAGACAGCTCTCAGCACTATGCTGCATCAGTGGCCTCTGAGACAGTGAGAATCATCAGGATGGTGTTGCTGGACCTAACATGGAGTAAGATTCTGTGCCTGAGCTTAAATCAATAATGCATGAGTCTTTTGAGAGATGATGTTCAGACTGGTTTAAAAAAAGTACTACTTAACTAAAATATGGAAAGGAAATGCTATTGCCAGGTATTTCATTACAATACCATTATACTTTAAAATAATATGGTACAGGTTGTTTGCAGCATCCATTGTCTTAAAGGAGTTTTACCAATTTACAGGTTGATTCTCTGCTGGTGGTTTGATGGCATATGCTTATAGATAGATGCTATCACATATATGTATATAAAATCAGTTGCAAGTCTCTAGAGTAAAAGGAGCCTGACTATTGCTGACATAGGAGTTCAGAATGACATGAATGTGCCCTGAAAGAGTGCATGTGGGCACTGTCCCCTGCACAGTCCTGCTGTCATCCGTAGAGGATGCGACAGGTCAGCCTGGAGCAGTGTGGGGAGAGGGGTTCAGAGCATCCCTTTCCTGGTCCCAAGGAGCTCCCAGTGCCTCTGCCATGCCCAGGGCAGGGAAATACTGTGGTATCTCAGCTGCAGCCGCTTCCTTGGCACGCAGCACCCTGACAGTGCACCCGGAGAGCTGCTCTGCATCGCCCGTCGTAAATAAATAACGACACGCGTATGCAGAGCCAGAGCTCTCGCAGGAAGGAGATGTGCTCTGGTGATTCATGGCTTCAGAGCCGCAGCTGTGAATCATGACTAGGGGCTGTAGGGTGCTGGGCAGTGCTTGCTGTGCCAGGCCCAGGGGCGTGGGGTGTGTGGCACCCCTTGTCCCATGGGGCTGTGCACCCTGACATCCCCTCGGAGGCCCACGCACCTCTCTGGGGAATTGCTTCCAAAGGAAACCTGCATGTTTTCAGGCTATTTGCTTTGTCACAGCTGGAAAATGGGGACAGGGTGGATTGGAATCAATTCTGTTGGAGCCCTGGTCTGAGTGCAGTGCTGCAGAAAGTGGTTTGTCAGCACAAAACTAGAAAGACAACGAAAATATGTATATGTGTCTGTATTTATGAATTTTCCCTGGGTTTTTTTCTCAAAATATATTTTAAAATTGAACACCAGCGAATGAAAGGGTCGAACTTACCCAGGAAGATTTCCCAATATCAAAAGCCATTCCACACCACAGAAAGCCCCAGCTCAGTGCCCTTAGGGAAGAGGCTGTGCTGCACTAGCACGAGGAGCAGGACAGAGCAAGGGTCTGTCTGTCTGCACCACTGCTGCTGCAGGCAGGAGGATGAGAGCAGGGCAAGCAGATGAGGAGAGTTAGGCTAGCACTGACAAACCACTAGTGGGTTTTTTTTTGTGCTTAATGGTCTTTAATGGCCTCCGTTCTTCCTTGAAGGTGTCTAGTCTGTTTTCCAGCCCATTCTGCCTAGGTTTTGTGCTGTCTTGCAGGTGCCCCAGGGGTATTACCCACGCCTGCAGTGGTCTGTGCTTCCGTTGTGGGTTGCCTTGACCTCTCTGCTCCCCTTGGTGGGGATGGGAGAGGCTCTGCTGGTTTTGCATCTAGATCAGGATGGGGTTGGTGTTTGCTGGACGAAGCCACTGTGGTTCAGCCTGAGGAATGAGATAGTTGAATATCCTGCAGGGTGCAAACCTGGGCGAAAGCTCTTCCTTAGCTGCCTGGCTGGTGGCTGCTAATGGTGTTAATGAGGCAGTGACCCCAGCCCAGTAAATCCTGCTGTGTGAGGCAGGATGAGCAGCTGAGCTGACTGGTATGGTGCAGCCTGTGTGCTCACACGAGCACAGTGCCATTGCCAGGATAGCTGTGGTGGTCTCTGCTTTCCGGTGGACACAGTGGTTTTCCAACCCTAAAGTTACCACAGGGAGTGCCTAAAGAAGGGCTGAGAAAACTTCCTCACCAAAACTACTGTGATCACTGCATTGCTCCTTCCCTGCATCCCTGCCTGTCTCCTGGCATTGTCTGTGGAGGGAAGACAGCACTGCCAGAGTGAAAGCAGGGAAATCTCAAATGGGGTTTTGAGCCCAGCAGCCAGCCACAGGGAGGGCACCACAGCTGTGAGCAGCAAAAGTTATTTTGCCTTTCACACAGAGGTTTCCAGTGCCATTGTCCTGGCAGAACATTGTGCTGGTGGTTGCCGCTTGCTTCTGCCCAGTCTTCTTTCCAGATGGATCCATCGTGATCTAGAGGTGAGTTATTCAGGCAAATCAAAGCAAAACTCTCCTGCTGCTCTGCAGCCACCTGCCCTGCATGGCAGAGATCCATAATCTCTATGTGGGGCAGCACCCACCCCAGGCAGCCCTTGCCTGCAAGGAAAGAGAGTGATGGGAAGCTTATAAATGGATTTCCCCTCTCTTCAAAAGTACCTTGCTAAGGTAGTGCCAAGGGGAAGTGGTCAGCCACCTGCCACACCACTTAGATGCACACAAGTCTATGGGGCTGGATGGATCTGCCCAAGGGGACTGAGGAAGCTGATGGAAGTGCCCACTGAGCCACTTTCAGTCAGCCCTGGCTCACTGGGGAGGTCCCAGATGACTGGAAAGTTAGCAAATGTCACACCTATCTACGAGAAGGGGTAGGAGGAGGATGTGAGGAACTACAGGCCTGTCAGTTTGTCTTCAGTGCCAGGGAAGGTTATACAGCAGATCACCCTGAGTGCTATCAGCAGCAGGTACAGGACAACCAGGGGATCAGGCCCAGCCAACATGGGTTTAGGAAAGGCAGGTCCTGCTTGACTAACCTGATCTTCTTCTACAACAGGGTGACCCACTTAGTGGATCACAGTGAAGAGCTGTGGATGTTGTCTAACTGCACTTTAGTAAAGCCTTTGATACTGTCTCCCCCAGGATTCTCCTGGTGAAACTCTCTGCTTATGGCTTGGACAGGTGCATTGTTCACTGGGTAAAAAACTGGCTGAATAGCCAAGCCCATGCAGTGGGGATGAATCAACTTACATCCAGCTGGTGAATGGTCACCAGTGGTGTTCCCCAGGGCTCAGTATCGGGGCCAGCCCTGCTTGATATCTTTGTCAGTTATCTGGATGAGGGGATTGAATGCACCCTCAGTCAGTTTGCAGATGACATTCAGTTGGGTGGGAATGTTGATCTGCTGGAGGATAGGAAGGCTCTGCAGAGGGATTTGGACAGGCTGGATTGATGGGATGAAGACAACTGAATGAGGTTCAGTAAGGCAAAGTGCCATGTCCTGCACTTGAGTCACAACAACCCCAGGCAATGCTGCAGGCTCAGGGAAGAGTGTCTGGAAAGCTGCATGGGGGAAGAGGACCTAAGGGTTCTGGTCAACTGTGCCTGAACATGAGCCAGCAGTGTTTCCAGGTGGCCAAGAAGACTAATGGCACCCTGGCTTGTGTCAGCAATAGTGTGGCCAGCAGGACTGGGGCAGTGACTGTCCCCCTGTACTTGATACTGGTGAGGCACCTTGAATCCTGTGCTCAGTTTTGGGTCCCTCACAACAAGAAAGACATTGAGGTGCTGGACCATGTCCAGAGAATGGTGATGGAGCTGGGGAAGGGTCTGGAGCACAAGTCTTGTGAGGAGCAGCTGTGGGAGCTGGGGGTGTTTAGCCTGGAGAAAAGGAGGTTCATGGGTGACTGCAAGATGTGGCACCTGGGGACCTGGTGTAGTGGTGGGTTTGGCAGTGCTGGGTTAATGGTTGGACTTAATGATTTTAGAGGTCTTTTCCAAGCTGAACGAGTCTATGATTCTATGTTTCCTGTGGGTGAATCACTGTCTGTCATTCAAGCTGGAGCTGGAGCCATTAACTGCGTTATGGCAGGGAATGAAATGAGACGTGGGTCTGGATTAGAGAGTGCCTGAAAAGCTTATTCACATGGGCCCTGCCTAGTGCCTTCACATCTCCTCCCACACAGTCCCTCATCCTGTTTGCAGTCACTTTTCATCGTCTCTTGTAAATAGATGTGAAAAGATGTGTGCATTTTCAATAACTGCTCTTCTCTCCTGCCACTTCCATGCCATCCTGGTGGTGTGGGGAATCAGCAGCCAGCCCCAGATTACCCTTGGGATTCAAACACCAAGGGACAAAGCAGCCCCTGGTATCAATGCTCTCCCCAGCCCTGTGTAGGCAGACAGGGGACAGCTTGGCAGATGTTGCTGTTAGAGGAGCTGTTCCCTTTCCAGCAGGAGCCAGTGAGTCTTTCCCTCGCAAATGCTGCTGCTTGTCCTGACAGAACATCCACTTTAATTATCGATGCTAAGTCTTTAGCACTTGGCTTTTTTCAGTGTTGTCATTTTATTTTTCTATAGGTAGCTGAATTCTGCAGTTATATCTGTGCTTGTGGCCCCAGTCTGGTTACTGCACCCTTGTACCTGTGTCCAGCTTCCCCTAGTACTTCAGTGAAGCTGGGCCATGCCTCTCTTCGTGGGGCTTCAGAAGATGAACCCCCTTCCTTGGACAACACCCTTGGACCCAGGTTATTGCAAGAGCACCTGGCAGATAGCTTGGACTGGGGCAAGAGCTGTGCACTGCTGTGGCTTCTCCCAGGCACCCTGCCCGTGCTTTAGATAACCCTCCCTGCAGCAGGAAAGCTGGACTTGGCCTCCACCCTGCGTCGCCAGATGAGCCCACGAGCTTTTTGTGGGAGCTGCTAGTTGGGGTATACAGGATGGGGAGTAGAGGCACCACCTGAACTGCAGTCTGAGCATCAGTCTCTGAGACAAGCATTGTCCATCTCTCCTGCCTTCCCCTTTCTCTCATACATTGGTTGTGTTGTTTGTCAGACTCTGCTATAGATGGGTCAATCTTTTCCTTGTTTATTTGTGTTTTTTTTTTCTTCCTTGGAGAATGTCTTTTGTTTTCTTGAATAGGCTTCTGGTATCCTATTGTCCTTTTATGTGCTCCATAGGCTTCTCCCATGCTCTGTGACCCTGATTTCCTCTACCCCAGTCCCACACTATCCCCCTGCCCAAGGCTCTGCTGTTTCTCTCTATCCTCTTACTGTGATATGAAGGTTCAGCCATTACTAACTGCTGGTTTAGATAACCAACGACAGCTAAAATAAATGAGAGATGCAGTGAGGTGCCATGTTAATGCACTTCCCTACTCAGGCTTTTAAAGGGAAAAAAAAAGGTCTTTTGTGAATCATTGATAAGTTCAGCTTCAGTCAGGGTCACTTATGCAAAAACCTAATATTGATTTTTCATCTTTGCTTAGAGTAGCTTCCCACGCATCTGTTCAGGATGCAATGGGGACTCACTTATCAGCATATGACTCACCTACTCCTCTAAATTTTTCTTTTTTTCAAGGATAGAGGAGCAACCAACCATCTCACAGGATGCTTGACCTTATACTGGAGGATCAGAGGTCGTCGCTGTGCTACAAGCTGAGGCTCTAGACATATTTTCCACATTTGCTTTGTTCCCGTTAAGCAGGAATATCTTTAACAAGGAAGATAGCTCTCAAAGTCATTAAATGTTCATTAGGGAAGCAGTTCTGCTAACCCTTCAGATTCTTATTGATGTCCTTCCAGGTCTCTGACCTAATTCTGGAGTTCTCCCAAGGGTTACATTGCTATCTGGAAAGAAACCAAAATAGGGATAATACAATTGTTGTGGAATCTCTGCTTGACTGCACACATAATGTTCTCTTTTTCACACATGCGTTCATTTCTGAAAGTCTCCAAAGCTGAAACAGATACCCAAATCCAACCTTCTCTGAATGGCCCAGCAGAAGAATCGATTCACAGGCAAAGTGAGGCAGAGGAGGTAAATAAGGTGCCTTTCTCTGACAGAATGCTTCCTCTATCCATTCAGACCAGGGGACAGAGTATGCATGTCCCTGCCTGGGATTTCCAGGCTGTCTCTGTATCCCAGAGGCTTTGACTTTGTGCAGAAGAGGTCTGCACAGGCAGGCTGTCACTGCAGCCCTCAGGCACTGTGTGAGTGCTCAGGATGCTCCCAAGAGGCAAGCTGGGAGACCCAGACTTGTGCCAGCCTCGTGAAATGGAGAGATCAGACTGCCTCAACAGCAGAGACATGAACATCAACAGAAATGCTGAAGGAGTTAGTAAGATATGTTTGAGGAGAGGTGAACTCAGTGGATAGGCTTAGACTAGCATACTTCATGGAGATGAAAATGTGCCATAGGTTTGTACATAACATCAAAGGAGTCTCTGGGCTGACACACTGTAACATCCTTGATATTTCTGAAAATTAGTCTTATGCAAATCCCAAATGAGTATAGAAAAAGCCTCTAGCTCTGCCCTGTACAACAGAAGTGTGGGAGGCAGCCTCTCATTTAAAGCAGGTCAGTTTATAGTGCAGGCTCTTAAGAGCTGTTGCTATGAGCTGGAATTGCAACTTTACCTCCTTCATTTTCTGCAGAGGTTATTTGTCATCAGATGTGCAGCAGCTTGGAGCCAGTGGTTTTCCTCGTGCCCTGTAATGCCTCCTGCTGCTCTGAACAGACATTCAGCTCTTCTGCTCAGGGGCTCTGAGTGCATCGTGGGCTTCCAGAACCTCTGCTCCTGGGGAATTTCCCTCCAGTATTCCCTCATGTATTCCTCCCAGCATACTGTCATAGGCTAATAACTGAGAGTAAGCAGAATTGGAAAAAAAGGAATAATTGGATTTTGTGTCCCCAGAGTGCTTTATCTTTTTTTTTTTTGATGCTGTGTTGTTCAAGCTACTGGTATCTTTATTGTTCTTCTCTACACTTGGTAAAACAAGATGTATTTAGAAAGCAGCTTTAGAATGGCTGATTTGATTTTCCATTTAGACTGTGGTTCTGGATATACTTAGTGGACTGTAATCACATTTGCTTCCTCCTGTGATCCTCCTCTTACCTACATACCAGATATTAACAGAGTCCTCCCTTTTCTCTGTCTGTTTTCCATAGTACATGGGCTGTATTGAAGTGCTGCAGTCAATGAGGTCCCTGGACTTTGGCACACGAACACAAGTCACCAGGTAGGTGGTATCAAACTGAGATTCAGACCAAGAATGGAGAGCCCAAGTGCTAATTTCTGCATAAAGCCAAGGTTGTGTGCCAAGCTCTGAGACAATTTTGAGTAGGAGTTTGCATGTTTTGTTTTGTCTTTTTCCTAAGTGATGATTTGAATTATTTGATCATTACAATGGGCTATTTGCATTGGAAAATGAATTGTTTCAGGCACAGACCTAATTTCTCTCCCAGTTCTTGTTCAGAGAGCCTCCCCCTGCAGTTGCAGCACAGTGCAGACATCCCCAGCTCGCTGGGTACTGGCAGCAGCTGGACTGTGCACGTGGCTCAGCACTGCCTGCACAGCTCACCCAAGGCACAGGATAAATCTGCTGATGCTGCTGTGGCCAAGGTGGTGAGCCAGGATGTTCACAGGTCTCCCTACCAAACTGCTTCAACTCCTGACACAGAGGGTGCCATCATCCCTTCAATCCAGCAAAGTCATCTAATGAATTTTTATCAGTCGTATGTCATGGCTTGACCCCATCTGCAGCAAGTCCAGGCTCAGCTGGAAGCAGAGGCACAAGGAAAACGTTGAAATACAGCTGTTTCAATCTGTACTGCAAGACTAAATTTCCAGGCTTCACAAGGAAAACATGTTGAAATACAGCTGTTTCAATCTGTACTGCAAGACTAAATTTCCAGGCTGCAAATCAGAAAAAGATGAATATTTCACTCTCAGATACAACTGATTATGGTTTAAATGTGAAATATTTAGTAGTCTTTTGGGAAGTTTGCAGCTTCTGTTGCAGATTGCTGCCAGTTGCTGGGTATAGACTATTAATACATACACCTGTGGGGTGGCTGAAATGTCCTGTCAGGAACAGAAAAGCCTGGCTTTATTTTTAAATTCATTCTTGTAAGTCTGATGATGCAAGAGTGTTTGAGTTTTCAAAACTGTCATCCTGTTTCCAGCTCTGAGTGCTGTGTGCCATAGGGATGTACCTGACAGTCCAGCAGTTGGGACTAAGGCTCTGCCAGGCAGCTCCAGCACCCACCCTGCAGCCCAGCACTTCCAAAGGCTTTTTGGAGGGGTGGGTGGGTGCAGGTTATTTTGACCTGGTCTTAGACATATTCCCTCCTCCCCTCAGCTACTTTTCTGGCATGGTTCATGCTGAGGATGCCAAGAGTGTGGTTGAGGCTTCCTGCATCTGCCTAAGTCTTCTTTCCTGTTGGGAGATGATTTTCAGATGCTCTTTTGCTTCCTCAAGTTTTAGTATCAAAGAAGTCATGGAGAAAGGAAAGGAACACGAAGAGATAAGTGCTGCATTTTTACCTATTGGGTCCCAGACTTACCAGCTAAGAAGAACTGAAAAACTTGAGTCTGTATATGCCTATATACACCTTACTTGCAAGCTGCCCTATTTATTTATATTCAAAATCAGCAGTTGTTGACCTTTACAATCAGCATAAGCACACACTCCCCTGGTTCCTGCAAGTGTGTATGAAGAAGTGCTTGAGATACAAATACACTTCCTTCAGCCTAGTCATTTACCGGTGAAGACCCCAGAGAAATCAGCCTGGGCCACTTTATTCTTCACAGCTCAGCCAAAGAGTGAGGTTATCTCCTATTTGCAAGACCTGGAATATGTGTGCTGCTACACTGACAGAACAGAGCTTTGGATGGTTTGTCTGGAAAATAATGAATATGAATTACTGTGTGACAAGAGCTTGCCAACTTAAATTTGGGCCAGATAGTAAGGTTTCATTAAGCAGAACTGTGTCAAAACTTCACAATAGAAATATTTCCATCACCTAAAGAAACTGCCACTGCTGACCTTAACGGGCTCTTTTGTGCAAGAGAAATTCAAAACTTCAACTGTTTGCAAACCAAATGCTGAAGTGCTGAGCTCATGCATGCAAACTTCAAAGTTCGATCGATTACAAACTGACTGGAGCAAAGACAGCATTGATTATTCCCCTATTGTTCTCCCTGGGGAGTGAGTTTATAGACACATGCACAATGCACCCACCAAGGAGCTGTTGGAAACGATCTCATTTTAATCATCTCTGTTATTTGTACTAGGGCTAAAAAATATTCTTACTTTGATGGCATTGCACTAAACAAAGAGGTATCTTCTGTTTTATAGTGATGTAGAAAGGGTCTCTATTTATTTCTGCGCCCTGCCTTACTTTATGTGTATGTGCATGCTTAGTTAGCCTCTAAAATTGAAGATATTATTTACCTCCCTCACATGAATGCTGGAAAGATCAACAAACTCATATTTGCCAAAGTGCTGCGAGGAGTCCTAAGAGATAAGCATGGTGGATTTATTTTCTCATTTCTTGCTGGACTTGTATTTTCAGTCACCCACAGGCACATGGTTAGGGAAGGCAGAAATGGCCTTTCCAGTGCTGTGAATGCCCGTGGGGTGCAGAGGTGCCATATGGCCAAATGACCACAGTGGAGCAAGGGAAGGTGCTCTTTACCCTCAGCAGCTCTGCAGTGAGGAGGTTGGCAGAGGAGATTTCTCTGCAGCAGTTTTCCAGCTCTCTGCTGTTGCTCACCTGCTCTTAGGACATCCCTCCCATTTTGCAGAAATTTATGATCACAAACTCCATGTCAGTGACATTTGTAGCACCAAGAAAGAACAGTAAGGGTAACAGGCTCTTCTTTTTGAGGGGCTTTGTATTTTTTGAATGGTCACCCATAAACGTGCTGTGCTTGCTGTTCTGGGGACAAGAAGTGTTTGGGTTGTCACCTTTGTGCTGTGGCAGGTGCTGCCTTTGCTGGACTCTGACATGTGCTTCCCTTGTCCAGCTCTTCAGCTCTTTTTTCTTACATGCTTCCTACTTGTGTTAAATCAAGCTTATTATTAGTCGTTTATGGGAAAAGGGATTCTGCATCTTGGATCGGGGCATTAACTTGCAAACTCTAAAATGGTCAGGCAGTGAGGGGTGAAGGGTGCCTGGAACGTGCTGCTGGGGAGGGCTGCTGGAAGAAGGCTGACTTTGTTTGGAAGATTAATTTCAACTTTGTTGAGCCACACAATCCCTTTCTGTTACATAGTGTAGGCAGAGCCCTAGATGCTTAAAAGCAAATCCTCAACAGCATGCTTGCTTGCTTACATCAGCCCATCTCTCGACTTTTACTCTGGTTTTGGGGGAACAATAAACAAAGCAGCTCAGTGTTTCTGCCCGGGAGCTCTCTCTCCTGCACGGGCACGCTCTGGGAGCAGCGGGAGGTGCATCTGCTGCAGGTTTCACTCCAGGGGTGCAGACCCAGAGAAAACCTGTAGACTCTACTGCTGAGTTGGTCTAAAGGCTTATGGAGGCCAAAAATGGGGCTCACTCTCTCCTGCCCTGTGCTTGCTGAGCCCTTGACAAGTGGCTGCTGCTAACTCAGTGGGCAGGGGGAGCAGTGCCCTGTGGGGTGAGGCACTGCCACAGAGTTATTTTGGAGAAAGCAAAAATTCCCTGTTACTGCAGCATTGACCTGTTTGGGGGCTGTGGCACTGACCCTGCTCAGTCCATCTTGGCCCAGGAGGTGAGAAGCTGCCTATGGCTGTGTGCCCAGGAGTCTCAGTGTCTCAGCTGAAGAAGACTGATGCTGCTTCCCCATCCCACCTCCTGGATCCCACAGAGGTGTCCCCAGAGAACTATGCCAGCCTTGATCCTCACTGAACTGGTGCCCAGCAGAATAACTCCCAAAAATTCTCCCTGCAATGGATGAGCATTTGCTGGGGCCAGGAGCAGGAAGGTTTGCTGCTGGTGACTGCCCAGGGGACCAAAGTGCTTCAGAATAATATATTTCAGTATGGTAAAAAGAACTGACCCAAATCTCTTCCATTCACTATGAAAAGGGAAAACTGTGTCAATTAAACAATGACCAGTTGATGTAATTGCATGGGCACTGCAGGATTGGCAGACAGTGATTCTACTTCAAATGGCAGAAGATGCCTGAGGAGTTGAGGAGTGAGATTTTCTTTGCCTTAAACTACAAGAACAATTTAAAATTCTCACAGCTCTCCTGATTCCATTCTGTGGCTCCCAGGATTGAGAAGGGCTGCTGCAGAGGATGGACATGGAGGGGTGATTTAAAGGAAAGACAAAACAAACCCCAAAGTGTTTTGCATTGGAATGAATGAGGAGGAGAGAAATAAACAGCAGCAATATGACTGGAATAACGAGGTCAAATTGTCTGCTACTGCCACAGATTTGGAAGACATCCAACGGACAAGCAAATGTCAGAATCCAGATATTCACCCAGGAACAAGATGATTAGCTATGTTAGCTGTGCACCAGTGTATGCATCTGGCACATCTAAAAGCAGAGACTTGCCCTAACAACTGTTTGAAAATGAATGGCTGTAAGAATGAATTAATAGCAAATTTCCAGGAAGAAAGCACAGATACAATAAATCCCATTTCAGTCTGTGGACATATCCAGAGTTTCTTTTCTTCCTGAAGTATGGTGCAGTTTGTAGTTCATGGAGATGACTGCAGATAGGGTGTGTTCAGTCACAGCAGCAGGTGTTCCCAAATTGCTGCTTTCCATGCCTTTAAAATAATATTTGTGAAGATTTGTTAGAGCACATGGAAAGCCACCCAGAGTTGTGCAGCAAGAAGTATCTGTGAGAAGATTATTTCCCATATCAAAAAGAGATAATGGAAACTATTAAGTAGAAGTGGTTTGCCTGCTTTTTAGTTCCTTTTTCCTGGACAGGTGCTTCAGAGCATGGTGAAGTGGGCAGACACTACACTGGCTTGTACAAGAATGGGCTCTGTGACTGACAGCTTTTCCTACAACTCCTTACTCCACATGGGCTGCCTGATGTGTGTGAGAACTCATTTGTCACCAGAAGAGACGACTTCCCTGTTTTTCCAATTTGTTCTGTATCTGGTTTTCTTTCTAGGTAGGGCTAGACTTGAAGGCTCCAAGTAGCCTTAATGTCTTGGCTCTGATTTTAATTTCCTTTAATATTGAATGAGAAGATGAGTTCTCATTTTCCAAGATGGTTATTGGAATCTGCAAGATCATCCTGTAGGATGCCTTTCCCATTTAATTTTTTATTTTTGGCCTTTCTCCTGGTAACGACTAAATAAAACAGGAGCTAAACATGAAGATATAAGGAATTTGCTTCAAAAACATATTTTCAACTGTATAGGGGGAAGTACTTTGCTTTAAAATGCTAGAAAGAGGCAATGTTTAAAAGGTTGGGTTCCTGACCCATCTTGTGTATCCCACAATGAGGCCTCTTTTCTTCCCTGCTGTTTTCACTCAGAATATAATTACTATGTTCTTATTTGCCATGGGTGAGGTCTCCATTCATCTGACAGTCTCCAGGTTGGATTTGTCAGGATGTTCTCTGACAGGAATTGCAATGTGTATCCCTGATCTTCAGTGCTATAAGCACACAGCCCACTGGTATAGCAGCCCGTGGGGCACTGGGCAGGGGCAGCAGTGATGTTGGGGGTCACCAGTGCTCTGCTGGCTTTTCTTCCTGCCTCATCTGCTCCCCAGACACAACAGAGGGTCCTGAGGTGACCACGCTTCTCACTGGAGCACCTCTTCTTCCTGGGACATATCTGACTGGAGTCTATCACCGTTGTGTGGTCTCCTAAGATTTTTTAGCTCTTCTGAACCAATACTTTCTCAGGAAATGAAGCCTACTGGCATTTCCCTCCCACACATGCGCCAGGATCTGAAAACAGACAAACTTTCCTAACTAGCTTGTTTCCTAATTAGCTCTTTGGATAATAATCCAATAACATAAACAAATAATTAAGCAAACTAATTCCCTTCCCCTTTAGAACGAAACAAAATCCTAACCCTTGGAAGTCTGAGTCTGGATTTAGCTGTGAGAGAAAGGCTGAGGCTACATCCTGGAAATGAGATTGCCTGATATGGGAGCTGGAGCTTGGGAGGGTGGCAGGGCTGGTGGTCCAGCTCACCCTGGCAGCCTCGTGGCACAGGGCCAGGGCATCTGGGGAGGTTGGGGACTGTGGCTCAGACTGGGATGTCCAAGGAAACTTGCTAAGCACATCCCAGCCCAGTAAGGCATCGTTTTTCTGTTGACTTCAAAGCAATGAGTATCAGTTGGGAAAAGCCTGTGAATGCCAGCAAAAGGTTTTTTCCCAGCTGCTGTGCTAACCTCAGTCAGGGCAGGCAGTGCTCCACTGTATGTCCAAACCAGTCACCTGCCTGAGCAAAGACCAGAACTTGCTTTGTTCAAGTGTGGAAAATAGGCCCAGCACATCACTCTCTTATCCTGTGTGTGATTTAGCTGTCTTTGATACAGACCAAGGAACACTGAGAGTGCTTTATGCCTTACCCTTCTGCTGCCCCAACTGTGAGGCACATGTAGACAAGAGTGGGTAGCTGGAAAGAAAAGTCTAGTTTGGGAAATTCCTGCCAGAGATAGAAAGATAGGAATTGAAACTGCAGCTGAGCAAAAAAACACCTGGAGAAGCTGCTTACACCTACCCTCCTCCCCCCACTCCTTTTTTATTCTTTTTTTCCAAGAAAAAAGAAACCCCCAAACCCCAGAGAGGCAGTTAGCACCCAGCTGGGCTCACTCAGCACACACCTGCTGGGCTAAATAAGAATGATTAAGCAGGAGCCCCTCCCTGCCAGGCAAGAGGCCTATCAACCATACTTAGAAAAAGGATTTGAAGGCTTAAATAAAAAAAAAAATCAAAAAAAATCAAACGAACAAAGGTTGTTTGTCTTTTAAAAATAAAAAAAATATCAAACGAACAAAGGTTGTTTGTCTTGTGGTTAGTTATGTTTGGTTGGTTTTCTTAAAAAAACCTGAAATTTTCATTAGGTGAACCTGATGTGTTTTGTGAGGATAAAGAACCAACCCAAACCAGGCTGCTGAATCATTGTATTTTGTTAAATAGCTGGGGATTTTTTGAACAGTGGGAGGAAAGGAGAAAGAAAAACAATTGTGAAAGACCTTCCAGAAGATGTGTTTATAAGTGGGCTGCTAACAATAAATTGCAGAGTTGCTGGCTCTGTTACAGATGATGCATGTGAAATGATCCAACAGTTTGTGCTGAATTTTCCTCTTTGCAGGGAAGCAATAAGCCGACTGTGTGAAGCTGTGTCAGGTACAAATGGAGCTGTGAAAAAGCGGAAGGTAAATACTCTTTTAGCTGAACAATTAATTTTCTGTATCTGCTTTTGATAAGATGGATACATGATCCCCTAACAAGCTTCAGTCCACGCTGGAATTAGTGCATATTAATCCATCTGAACTCAGTATGTATAACATGAAAGCACTGGAACAAGATGTTTAGCCTGTTCAATTTGGGGCTGAGGCCATGCCCTACTTTATTTTCTTCAGGATTAATCTTTGCCCAGAGCTCCTGCTTCTACCAGCCCTTGCAGTGCTCAGTGCTTTACAAGCTTTAAGTTTTGGCTGGTAAAGTATTGGAATCAGGCTTTATTTTTTTGTTTGCAAAAGGGAGCTGATTCACTGGAGGATTTCCTGCTGCTTATTTATATACATAAAAAATTAAACACAACTAAAATGGCAGTGTTTAATGGGCTGATCTTTTATTAAGTAACTGGCATGCAATGAGGGGCAACATCAGTGGTTACTGTTGGGTTGTGTCCAGAGGAACTTATTGATTTCCTTTTGTAACTGTGGAGCTCGGGAGGAATGAACTTGCTCCTGAAAAATGAATACATGAGAGAATTTCTTGCTTTACTCAGAAACACTTCATCCTCAGGAAACTGAAAAGTAGAGTTCAGAAGGAAAACTGTACATTCTGAATTACTGAGCCAGCTACAACATTTAGCTCGCTGGGATTTTGCTTTAAAACTTTTTGTCCCATTATTGACATAAAACCCATATCTTACAAGTATTGTATTCAGAGCTGATGTTTGTTAGAAGATCTGTTTGCCTTTGATCAAGCCATTATCCTTGCTCCATTGAAAGTCTCAATAAGATACCATAAAAGCCACTTGACTTTGACATGTTTCTGCCCTGGTAGACTCGGCTAACAGACTCTTTATTTTGTTTCTTTGTTCAAAGCCACCAGTGAAGTTTCTGTCTTCTGTACTTGGCAAAAGTAACCTTCAGTTTTCTGGTGTGAACATAAAGCTGACCATTTCCACAAGCAGCCTCACTTTATTCAACGTTGACACGCAGCAGGTAGGATACGTGTGATCAGTGTCCTTTTCTCCATGCTACTGTCTTCTCCTTCGTGGCTTCTGAAGGAAAGGCTGGGCCCTTCAAAGGGAAAGCAGAACCCTTTAGCAGACTTGTGCATGTCTGGTGAAGCTGAATTACATGGTGCCTCTGAATTTAAAAATGAAGGCACTTTGGAGGAATTGGACATGCAGCACATGCCCTTTTTGTTTATGATGGTGTGTTCCGTGGGGAGGGATCCTTAAGCACCTGGCAGACTGTTTCTCTGTGTGTGTCTGCCTGTACTGTGCCTAATAAACGAGGCACTACTCCTGACTGGAGTTTCTGACAAGTCCTAGGGGGAAAAAAATTGATATAAAAACGAAGTCAGAGTTTGGCTGTGGAATTCAAAGTTATTTTACAGCTGGGTAATATATGTGCACAATCCATTATAAAGTCATGTCTCTATAAAGTAAAGAATAAAGCACAATCCATTATAAAGTCTGTAGGCTCCATCAAGGTGTGTTGGACCTGGGGTGTGCTCCTCTCCTCCTTGGCAGATGTGATAAGGAGCCTTGTCCTGCCCACCTAATTCCTCCATCAGCTGTTGGCTTCAGCTCCCAACATGATCTTGCCAGGGGCCAGCAGCAGGTTTTGCTCCAAGGTGGAGCAGGGAAACATCACAGAGGTAGTTTTGGCTCACTGGCTCTGAGCAGTCCCTGCACTGAGCTGATGCCATGCTGAGCATCAAGCAGCTCTTAGGGGTTTTCCTGGAGTGCAGAGGTCTCTTGTCCATTGGACATCTGTGCTAGAAGGGGTTAGGGCTTATGGCACCAGGTTCCACCTCCTTTCAGGTACAGCAGCAAAGGGCTTCCCTGCAGCATGTGAAGCTCTGGGAGTTGGCAGCTATAATGTGGCACTTTTAACCTGCTCCTGTTTGTAGCCAGACTAAAAGCCAGCTGGACAGCTCTCCTTCCAAAGGCACTGATGTGCTGGTCACTGCACACACAGGCATGCAGGGCCCTGTCTTCAAATTCATTACTAGACCTCTTCAAATGGAAAATCCTATTTATTCTATCCTTGTTCTGCTACTGTATTTCTTTGTGTTCATACATGCATAATATATTGCATTTGATTTTATAACCAAATTCAGCTTGTTTCCAGAGATGAGGTAGTGTTTGAAACCAAGAAAAGTTGATGCTTGATCTGTCTAGTAAAATTTCTGCCAGCCAACAGTCTGGTGCTAATGGTGAGAAAGAATATGATCAGATTGTCAGTGGGGCCTGTTTGTAAAAGCACCACAATTATATACATCAGATATTTAAATAAAATTGTTGGTAATTTTAAAATGAATTAATATCTCAAGGCTTGCTAAATGCATCTGGTATCTGCAGTTATTGCCCTTTCAAAGTCTCATTCAACTTCATCCTGACTATTCTAGAAGTTGGTTGAATTCATTCTGAAAACTCTTTAAGGAAGATTACTCAGGGATCTAGACATCACTAAACATGAATGGGTAGTCCTAAAAATAATCCTATTTTTATCTCCTTCCTTCCTTCCTTCCTTCCTTCCCAAATGATCCATGCATGTATTAATGGACTGGGTTGTCATGAACTTAATTGGTTGTTCTATGAAAATATATGCTCTGCTGTTTTCTAATATGTGGCCCAGGAGCATGTTTAACTAGTTTGTTCATGCTTTTCAGATTATTGCCAACCATCACATGCAGTCCATCTCATTTGCTTCTGGAGGTGACCCAGTAAGTATTGATTGATGAGATCCACTTCCGCAGGTATAATGAAATTATTATGAGAATAAAAGTACCTGCAAATACTTTGCTTCATCCCTTCCTGCCACAAGCACTACCAGAGTACACTGCACTTCTGGATCATGACCAGCAATACAAGAAAACTGAGGGGCTGAGTCTGAAAAGGAGATATGAAACAGAAACTCAGTGGGTCTTTGATAGATACACACAGTTAACTTTGCTGCTGTTCATTAAAGCATTTTGAGTTCAAGAAGTTCAAATTTCTCCTTGAGATGCCTGTGCTGTCCTAATACACCACACTGCACAACAGAGTCCTTGGGTCTTGCAGACCCTTCCTGATGTGAAGTTCCAAGTAGCTTCACGTGCTGGCACACTGTTGTGCTGAGCAGCACAGTTTCACTTCCAAATTTCACTTTCTTGAGAGTCAAACAATTTAAATATGTCCTTAAACTGACTTGTTTTTAAAATACATACCACGGTCTAGATGCTGGCTGTCTAGTTTGTCTTTATGTAACATTTCCATTTTGGAAAATCTAGGGATGTGTTTTCAGACTTGTGCTAAGCAGGTTGGATGAGTAATTCTTCAGACCTCCAGAGGTCTTGCTTGGCAGTGGTGACTGTAAATCTAGTGGCCCTTCTCATAAGGGGCAATTTTGGTGGCTTGTTCATTAAAAATGGGAGATAATTTCCACAGGACATCCCCATTCCATCTCCCCCCACATTCAGGGTCTGTGTGGTTCAGTGTTGCTCTGTTTCTGCCTGAAAATTAAGCCTATTCTGGCTTTATTTTAAAGCAAAATAATCCAGGCACATACATAAACATTGCAGAGGCATAAAAAGAGCAGGTACTGCTCCAGTTACTTTGGTTTCTAGTTTCTCTCTAGATTGAATTTATTTTAAAAAATATATCCTAAAATATTTATGAACTTTAAGAAAAACCCAAAAGGAAAAGGAAGGAAATTGAGTTCATTACATACATCAGAAATATTCAGCTTGCTTTGTTTTAATAATATTAACTTTGGAGACCTAAAAAACCCAATAATCTAGGACAAGTTCTGCTGGCCCTAAGACTTGCCTCTTTTGTCATTCATTGTGAATTATTAAATGATTGTTCTTGTGCATATTGCAAATGGGGCCTTGTTTCCTGCCAGCTGATTGCATCTTCCCTCAAGAGAGCCATGCCTTTAAGCTGTGAATTGCATTTTCCCCATCCCTCCTTAAAGATCCAAAATAACAAAATGCATCTTTAATAATTAAAAGAATGTTATTCATTACCTCACCCATTTTACTACGACACTGTATTATCAAGCCACTCTTTGCTTTTGCGCTGTGTCTAGAAATGTTAGTTTTTCTATTACAGTTCCCTTTGCAGTTTGACTAGAAAAAGAGGATTATTTCAGTGCTGGCTGGAGAGAGAATCAGAAACAGACAACTGATTATACAGAGGTTGTCTGATCTCAGCAGCAGCTTTGAGATCCAGAGTAATTTAACCTGATCATAGCCAGACTAAAATCAGGCAGCAGCAATTGAGATCAGATACCTATTGTATTCTGAAATATTATAAGGATTAACTCTTCTCTAAGATGCCTTCAAAACTCAATCTTCATCCTACAAACTGGAAACATGAGAACTTGTCCTTTGGAGCATATTAGCACTGTTTTGTCTTCTGCTGATATTGGTAAGGAGTGTCCCAGCCAAAAGCTGTGCTGGCAGTCACACAGCCCTGGTGTGTCACACGGGAGAGGCTTTGAGGTCCATGGGAGCAGTGGAAAGGAGCAGCATTACCTGCTGCTGAGGCACTGGCTGTGTCTGCTCCTGTTGCAGAGCTGAATTCAATATGTGGTTTATTGAAGACCCAAAGAACGCGAAATGGTCTAATGTGTTTATTAGAAGAAAAATGTTATGGGACAATTTCTGTGTCAATAGCCAACCAGTGTGTCCCTGATATATCCCTTAGCTCACTTTGCTGGTACCTCTGGTTGTTTTCCCTGAAAGAACACACATTTTAAAGCTAAAAATATACCTGTCTATACTCAATTGCTTTTCTGTGGTGGTAGGGTTGTTCATAATGGTAATTTTCAAGACATTTGTTGTCTTCTTTCCTCTAGGACACAACAGACTATGTTGCATATGTGGCAAAAGATCCTGTTAATCAGAGAGGTATTAAAACAATTTTCAAATTGTTATATGTGTTTATGTGATTGCTTTATTTGCATGAAACGAGGAATTCATTGAGTTTTAAAATAAGAAAGCTACTGACCAGCTCAATATTCTGTACAATTTCTGACTTCCCTGTATGGGTAGGGGTAATGGTATGCAGGGTGTGGTTTTAAATGTCACCTTTGTGCAAAAAAGTGAGAATCTGCAGGTCAGACTAAAGCTGTACTAGCTGCTGGCTCCATGCAGGGGTAGGAGCTCTTCCAAGTCAGCCTTGCCTGGTGAGGTGGGCAGCTGCTCTCCTCTGGGACAACTTCCAGGGCAGGGAAGAGTAGTGAATGAGCCTCCTCATCTAAGCCAGGCTCCTGGCTATGTTGCTGGAAGGCAGAGTGGGGTATATACTCAGCTATTTGAGACCTTCTCCCCTCTGGTGTCTAACCCAGGGGATAAAATCCCTTTCCATCACTGATTATTTGCCTGCAGTACAAGACAGACTGGCATTTGGCTGCTTCTTTCATGCCAGACAGTTCTCAGAGCGACACTGCCGATGGCTGTGAAGTTGGTAGTGGCTGCTCACAGGAAAACTCACTCTGAGGTGCTGTGGATGGCTCATAAGATCAGGATGTTTTCTGGAGAAGCTGGGCTGGAGCCTTACAGTCTGGCCTGCCACCCCTCAGCTCCAGGCTGGCAGAGCCACTCATACTTGTGCTTTCATGCTGCTTCACATGAAAACTGCACACTGGTAGGGCTGGTTCACTCCCCTGCTTCTGCTTGCTGCCAGGCATGGGAACTAAAGGAGATTCAGGAAGCATAAAAAGAGAGGATTTTTTATTAAGCTAAAGATGATTCTCTGACTAAAAAATACCTAGAGTAATTTTGTTAACATATGAACAGTCTCAGTCTGTATAATGTCCTAAAGCTAGCTACATGCATGTTTTCATGCCCAGCTTTTCTGCTGTAAGCAATAGGGGTTGAGTCTCTATTTTCTGGTGTAAACTACATTTCCTTTAATTAAAGTGTCTCTTTGCAGCATGCCACATCCTGGAATGTCCCAATGGGATGGCACAGGAGGTGATAAACACCATAGGGCAGGCTTTTGAGCTCCGGTTCAGACAGTACCTGAAGAACCCATCCAGCCTGGTGACATCTAATGAAAGGTCAGCACGTTCTCAGTCACTTCACTTGAGTACTTTTCAGGAAAACAATACACTGCAAAGAGTGATCCATAAGTAAGATGCTTTGGATATGCTTTCTGGACATAGGCTAATTGTAATATATGTCTGTATGTACAGAGTGTAATAGGCTAAAATTAGCTTATTCCAGTAAACTCCTCTATTTCTGTGACATTTGTACAGGTGCAGAACACAGAATTTAGCTGTATTGTTCCTTAGATAAAGCAGCCTTATCTTAAGTCATGCACGTAAGTTGAACAAATGTTCAAATTACTCTGCCCAAGTAAGTTCAGCTCTATAAATAGCACACACACACACACACAGAGGCTGAGCTCAGTCCTGACCTGTGCCAAGTTTGAGCTTGCTGCAGCTGTGCAAAGTGTGTGGTGGTGGGAAAAAAAAAAGCCATTTTAATTCACCTTTCTGCTATTCTGCTCATGGCCTGGCAGTGGCCTCGGATTTTACCTGGCGTGACTTACATCAGCCTCGTGTACTGAAATAGACTCAGCCACCACTTGGCATTTCGAAGTGTGAAGCCCTGTCCTCTGCACATTGCCCAAAATATAGGGCCTAGATTAATTTCTGGACCACAATTCCCCATTTCAATTACCCTTTTTCCATCACACTAGGGACACAGTTCTTGCTCTAATTTATGGTGCTCATCATAGATTAGCCATGCCTATTTTTCTCAGGCTTCTTTTTACTATAACACCAAATTTGACTGCTTGTTACCTCCCATGAGGACATAAAGCCATACCACCACTCAACTACATCCTGAGCACCAGAGTCCTGTGCAGGCAGTGTCACTGGTGCAGTGCTGAATGCAACACAGCAGAGCTGGTTTGGTTACAAAACAGCAGCTCCAGTTTATACTTATTTCAATGTATATAGTGGCTCTTGCCATTCCACTGCTAATACTGGTCTGTTTTCCCTGGGGACCATAACCAGAAAAGCCTTTCCTATGAAACTCTGCTAGGTTATGCCACAAGTAGCATAGGAGCAAGGAAAAATGGAAGAGGCTAATTAGATTTCCTCCTTGAGCATAACCCCCAGCCAGCCTTGGAGCACAATCCTCGGGCACAGGAGTCGGATATTGCTGTGTGAATGAGTCACTCCCTTCCAAACTACTATGAATCACATAATCAAATACTTGCACTGCATATCGCATAATCAACTACTTGAACTTTATCTCTTTCCTGCTCGAGGCCTTTTATCCAATTATACTCTTGTTAATCAGAGAAGTAAGATTTGAGATGAGTTTTTTATTTTGGGACCGGAGACAGTACAGGAAGCACCTAGTTGTTTTGCAGTGTATCAGCTGTACGTTTAAGCTATCATCGTTCTGGTTTAGCTCAAGAAAAACGTTGGGCACTGTTCTTCATGGCATTCAGTGTTTCCTTCCAGCTGAAACAGAACAGTTATATTGATTATGGTTATTAAAATCAAGGTACACTCAGGAAAGCTACTTCTTTTTGTAGCAATACTTGATTTTCTAAAACAGTTTCAGGCTTGTCTGACTAAATGCCATGAGGTTTTAGTTTTCTCTTGTAAGTCTGCCCACTCCCCAACAATCTCTAGACTTATACAGTTGAGCTAAGAAGCCAGAGGAATTCGTTTTATGGTCAACATTTTGTATAACCTAATGAACAATGCACTGGCACTCTTCTCTGAAAGTTTCAGTAGGTGCCTCATGTTTTCAAGTCAAAGAAAAGGGATTGGGGCTGCCAGGTGCTAAGGAAATGACTGCACCTCCCTTTATCCCAAACTGTGATGACTATTTTTAATTCAGGAAGAAGTAACTGGAAAAATAAACAGCTCTGCAGCTTCAGGCCCAAAGCCCTTTACAGCCTCCATATGGCTAATCTGTGTATTGTCCAATGTGCAGACACTGGGGACGTTTGCCTACACTAGAAAGCAGTTGATTACATCAGTAGCTTTTTTTTTTCTCCCCATATTTTTTTCAGCGAGGCAGCAAATGCTAATGGATCAGCTGGGAATTCACAGGAGAGGGAGGATCATGAATATTACAACGAAATTCCAGGGAAGGAGCCACCCACTGGTGGAGTGTTAGACATGCGAATGAAAGTGCAAACAGACCAAAGGGCTAAGTGTCCAATCCAGTGCAAAAAGCAGTATTGCTCGGTAAGTACATCATCTTCTGGGGTAACTGTTTGCTGCCTATTATGGGAATGAATAATAAAATGTTACTGTGGTGTTAAAGCATGGCATTAACATCAGAACCAGGTCCTGATTATCCTGGGAAAAGGTTTTTTTAGGCTAGATTGAATGATGCTTTGCACATAATTGAATCCCAAAGCACTTTCTGAATATTAACTGGTTTGTCCTTAGAGTACTTTTAGGAGACCAAGTAATACTCCCTTGTTCACTCATTAGCTCCGAGAAGAAAATAGATACTGATTTAAATGGCTTGTCTGAGAGAACATCTGCAAAATCTGGGACCTCCTGATTCTGTGATCTGATAAATATTTCATCCTGTCCATTATGCTCTACAACTTATACACACAACATTGACTGATTGCAATATATATACAACATTCATTACTCTTGGAGTGTTTGAAGAGGCTCTGTTAAATCAGCCACAGCAGCAAAAGATGCATATATCTGTGGCTCTTGTCTGGGATAGTAGGCAATAAAACCCATTCAGGGAGTAAAACAAGCCAAGTTCAGACTGGCTGCACAGACTCCAAAGCCTGCTCTGTAAGTCCTTGGGAACACCATCCTTTCCCCACTCAGGAAAGCAGGCACCACTGCTTTGCTCAGAAGGAACAAACTCAGCTATTCC